TTTCTCTATTTGTTCATGCAAACTCCTATACCCATCTCCTTTGTTCTCTTCATTTCTTTCTCTCGCCGTTTCTCTCTTTCTTCGGATTAAATCTTTGCCTGCAAACTTGTGAAATTCGGAATTAATTTCCCTCTCATGATAATTTCTCCAATTTCATTTGCTACATCTACAAGGTTCGATTTCGAGATCCCATTTGGTGTTGAATTCTGGTTCTTTTTTGGATTTGTGATTTCTTTCTATCATTACGAACCCTAGATGGAGTTTTCAACTCTTATGGATCAGAATGAATAAGAACTTTTTTTGACTGAAATGACCTTATTGAATTGATTATAATTCTGCAAATTCAGATTTTCCATTTTACATGCATTTCTGTTTATTATTCCTAAAAATCATGGTGTTTATGGCCGTAGGTTGATTGCTGCTTTATCTGGAGATCTTCTGGAAGATTTCATACTGTAAGTTCTTCTCTCTGAATTTGTATCTTTATTAATGCATTTTTTTTTTCTTTCTAATTAATATATTTTTATTACTTTTGCTTTCTAAATACTCTCTCTTTTTTAGTACTTATTCTCTCTTTCAGGCTCAAGCTTAAAGTGTTGTTACATTTTATCTGTGTTTGTATGATTACATATCTTGAACAGTTTTAGTCGGTGAAAGGTGAAAAGTGAGAAATGAAATTTGGGCATTTTACCTTTCTTTTATGTAAAAGTTAAATCTGAAGGATCCAAAAATATAGGCAGAGTATAAAAATTAAAATAATTTACGTAGATACAGAAGAGTAATAGCCCAAAATGAAGCATTAGTTGAGGAAGTTCAATGATATTGCAATCTTAAGCAAGGGGAAAACGAAGAAATAGCAAAAGATGATTTGATATCTGGGGTAAAGTATTTTTAAGTCCCACCCTCCTCTTTGACCTTACAACCCTGCCTGCAGCTTGTATTATGAGGCAGATGCCTCAGATTTAGATTTGGGGCCTTAAAGGAGTTTCAGTGCTTTATGTCTGGATCTTTACCCAGGAGGTCTAAACCATACTTCTTCACCTATAGCTATATCCTTCTATTGTTTCCTTTTGGCTTTCAGTTTATTTCTTAATCAAATATGATTTGTACATATAATTCTGGTTCCTTGATGTAATTATAATTTTGCCCTGAATCATTACGGGACGCCATATTTCAATTCAACGTTACTGAGGAAGTGGCCAAGCATCAATATTTCCTTGATGTTGAAACTAGAAACAATGTCCAAACCTCCAAGTTAGGCTTTGTAGATAGCATTGTAATACTGAGCAAATTAAAATGATACCTTCGAAATTAATTTACCCTAAGCCTTTGTTTGACAACCGTTAAAATGAATTGAATAGTGATTTTTTGGAGACTGGCAATTAAAAAATTGGAAAAAATTTTGAATTTACGTACAAAATATTTTATTGTGAGAATGTGTAGTTGACAATGAATTTGAGAAAAAAGAGTTTTGTTTTAATGGTTGTCAAACATGGGCTAATTTTTATTCATTTGATATTTCTTGTACATTTTGACCTTACAACTTTCTCCAAAGGATTGCTGATTCTTTGACATCTCTTCTTGAAAGAGGTGCTGATAGAGAACCAGAAATCATTGAGCAGGTCTTGGACCCTCAGTTAAATGCAATTCCGTTTGTGATATTTTATTAAAAATCAAATGAATTCTAAAGCTGTGTTTTTTTTTTTTTGCAGATTTTCACATCATGGTCCTATATTTTGATGTACCTGCAGAAGTATCTTATCAGACATGTTGGTCATGTCTTAAGGTAGTTATTTTGTTTGTTCTATTCTTTTTTGTCCAGAAAGAATAACGGCAACCTTGTTAGACAACCAAAATATATCTGTTATGAACTTCAAGCTTTTTCTGCTTGTTTTTCATTTTTTGCAAATTGGCGTTGGGCAGCTTGGAACACCAGAGGAGTGAGAAAATCACTGTATTAATCTTCAGTTCAATCTTATAAATCCTGTGGTTCATCTTTGATACATAAGAACATTTCTTGGTACAGAATTTGTAACTCCACCTCAATGCTACTTCTCTGGTTTGAAGGGGTTGAGGCAAAAATAGACTTTTTTTCCCTTCGAGAAAGTACTACTAATTCGAAGTCGAAAGCATTCTGCTATTTGGTTACATTGTTCTATGTATATCAATTGTACGAGAACGGAGAACATACACACCCGCTTAGAATACTTCACACTACGTCAATGATAGTGTACAACTGCAAGCACACTTTTGGTATAGAAAATGAAGTATAGTTGACATTGACCACATCTCGATAAGCCTTTTCCTGAATATGAAGTTTTAGAAGTGGCGACATCGAGTGTTGAGGACGAATCTTAAGGACCTCATAGATGTGTAATGGTGTTTCTTCAGGAATGTTGGGGTTCCCAAACTTTTAAACAAAAAATTGGTGTATAGAAAAACTTAAGATGATATATACAACTCTATATAGTCATACGTCCCTGCCCCTCCTTTTTATGTGAATTGTGAATACTCGAGTACCTGTGTTTTATTCACTGTGATTGTTTTGGGTGAACTACATTATAAATGAGAAAGGTCGAGCACGTGTTTTGAGAATGTTTCTTTTTCTCGGATTCTAATTATAACTCTGTCTTGGTCCCTCGGCATTACAGTAAAATTAAGATACTACCCCAGGGACTATGTTCGAGAATTCATGGCGGAATCAGTCTCGTTCTTATTAAGGAAAACACCCATTCAGCAGCTAAAACAAGGTTTGGCCTCCTGTTATAAGTCACTTGCCTATTTGTTGAGATAAGGACAATTTTATTTTGTATCATTTTGTGATTACCTATTTTATCATGACTAAATCAGGACAGATATATATCTATCCTCTATGTATTTGCCAAAAGTAGTGTGTGCATTTTTTTTTATCTCCAAATGCATTTATGTATATTCACCAAATGTTTCTGCTTTCGCTTTTTCGGTATTACCTGGAAATATGTATAAGCGCAATGCAATTTTAATTGCGTACTTCTTTTTCCTATCCTACATTATTAAAAGAGTGAGTTTTGTTACCACTATTCACAAGTTGTTTGGCCACAGAATCCTGGCTGAGTTGGTGGAGCCGTGTTTTAGCCGAGCCGTGTGGATTTTTTTGCTTTTTTTTTTTCCCTCAGGCAGCCTTTCTTCTGACTTTCTCCATTTCTCAAGTAATATCCCATACCTCTTTCCTTCATTCTCTCTCAATCGTTTTCTCTAGATCCTTCTCTCCCCCCACTCTCTTTCTCGCGATTTCGTCTTCCACAGATTTCTCTCTATCATCTCTCATTTCCATTTTCGTTTTTTTTTTTGTAGGTTTTGTTGGTGCTTTTGTTGTACCCATCCCCAAATTTCAATTGCAAAGAAAATGCATACCGGCAGCCAGCAATTGTGCAAATTGAATCTCAATCCCTCTGTTTTCCCTTGAAGTCTTGCACGTCGTACTGTAGAGATCTGAAATGTATGTATGTATATGTGTTTGTATATATCTGTGTAGTTATCGCCTTCTATTGACCTTTTTTTTGCATGTAAACTGATTTTATTTTCTTCTCCAGTCGATCGAACCTTGAAACAGGTACTCAGATTTTTGGATTTCCATTCGTCTGATGCTGCTCTGCTTCTGCTCAATTTGTAAACCCAGAAATGAAAGCAGACAGAGAGTAATCATCCGGATCCTTCCTTGCATTTAATACACCACTTGAACTATCCAAATTACTGCACTTCCCATACATATTCACAAGTGAACTTCCCAGAACTGAGTCAAATTCCTTTTACCAGATTTTCTCTCTTGGCCTTTTATCAGCAAAGTGGTACTCATAATGTCAACATTAATTTATTTTTGTTCTCAAAGTGATGTCCAAGCAAGCAGCATACTCCTTGACGATAAATATGAAGCACAGTTAGGAAGCGTGAGTGAGGTTTGCCCTCAAGAATGAGACAATCATCAAAATAGGATCACAAAGTTGCTATGACTGCCACAATGAGTATTATCATTTAAATCACAAATACTGATCTTTATTTGTGGATGTGCTTGCTATAACTTTTCAAGTGCTAGCTTGAAAAAGATTACAATGAGTACCCAAAGTCTATGACAAGTGACATAAATATGCAATTGCAACTTGCACTCTATTTATTCCGGGATACATTTGTTAAGGAATTCGTAGTACTAAAAGAATGATGACAGTGACACTATAAATTTCATCTGCTTTAAGTCGCTATGTCTCTCATAAGTGTCAGCTAAATTAGATTTATTGAGATGTAATACTCTCTTTTGGCTTTCTAATTCATGTGAAATTGTTGTACAATTTATTCCAATTGCTCGGTTGAGGTTGTGACATATTTTTTTGTTGGATGCAGGACATCAGACAAAGGTACTTCTCAAATATTCTCCCAAGTGTTTTCTAGCTATCTCTAACTTTACAAAAAGCAGCGGCAATAATTCATTTACTTCAATCGAAGGCAAGCTACAAATTGCAATTACATGATTTGATTGTTATTGTTGTTTGAATTCAGTTTTTAATTGAGTTTTTGATATGGTTTTTGCTTTTTTTGATCGTCGCCACGGTAGGAAGTATTTGTCTTTTGATGGTTCTGTTGGTTTACTGATTTAAATCTTGAAAGGAACTTTTGGATTGTATAAATTTTGCGCAGAAAGGGCAGCTTACAATTCAGCGCGATAGACCAACAGTTGTTTCAGAATTGAACAAGCCAGTTGTTGTGTTCTTTTGTTTCCCTTTTAACTTAGATGCAGTAGTTACTAAAATTTACCATTGAACCTGGGTTTCAGCTCGAGGTTATCATTGCTGATTCTTAGAGTTGTCTTGCTTTTATTTACGTTTCTGTGTTTTGTTGACATTTTGTTATGTTGCCCTGATGGAAGCATAGAAGTTACTTTTCTAAGTTGAATTTCTCCCACTAATGGGCTCAAGTCTTGTAGCACAATTGTCATACAAGTTTTGCTATTTATATGCTTTTGAGTTGAGATGACTTATTTGACAAAACGATCTATTAATTGACATGTTTGAATGCCTAATTGTTATATTCCATAATAAACATTCATGTCATATGCCACGAACTTGATTTCATGAAGCAACATCTTTCGAAAGTATTCCATGGTTCTCTGTTTGCACGCATCATAAACATGTTACATTTTGATTAAAAAAAATAAGGTTTTAACTACAATACCGTTTCACTTGTAAATGGATGATGAAATATGTCTTTCAGTGCTTCATTGATGTTTGTTTCATTATGCTTTTACAACCACGCTATTAAGTATCCAACTACGCCCGTGTAGGTGCATCCACTAGTATAATTAAAAGAAGAGAATATCATTAGAGAAATCAAGGATGACTGAAATTTCAGAAAATCATAAACAATTGAATTTTTGCAGATATTTTCAATTTAGAATGGAAGAATTACCTGAAATGTTTTTCATCTGGGGTTCCACGTATACATATGGAGACAAAATGGTATTTGGATAATTGTTGGTAGATTGATAAATGTTTCAAGATTCTTTTCAAATGATAACCAGTTCTTGAGGTAGATTCATAAAATTATATATAGATAATAGAGTTATTTATATGTGGAGTTTGAGTATCTGGCTTAGTTTATAGGGAGTTACAGAATTAAATTGGATTTGTGCGGTTTCTTTTAATAGAATATGAAGACAAGTTCAAAAGAAAGGCTATCAACTATAGTTTGTTTGCATGGAATTGACATATAAGAACTAGACACAAGTAGCGATAATTGAGATTATATATGATATTGAAATATTTCAAGGATGTATTTATTATAATGAAATTGGTGAAAGAATGTTATTCGGTTTTATATAAGATGAAGATTTGGAGAGTATGAAAGTAGTATCCTTAACTTTAAATTGGGAAATAATTGAATTTTTCTAAGAATTAGTAAAATTAAAAGTCGAGGATATCATATATTTGTTTCTGAGACGTTATTTAGAACTTGGGTCCAATTGTTCAATGATGGAGTTCTCAATGGGTTTCTCTAGTATTTAAGAAGGTATTGTCTATTTCTAAGGCTTAGTAGATATCAGATTTAACTTTTGCTTTATGATTATCAGCAAAGTTAAACAGAGCTCAACTCAGAAGAAGCCAAATAAGATGCAAGATGTGAAATAATAAAATTGTGTCTAGTTAAAGGTTGCACAAGAAATCAATCGTTGTGTGTGTGTTTTACTCTGTGTGTTCGAATTCTAGTTGATTGAATTTCGAGGACGAAATTCTTTGAAGGAGGTAAGATTGTTACATCCTACTCATTTATAGTCAGCCTTGGTTGTAGATCTGGCATCTAGTCAACATCTACTATCGGCGCCGTCACATTTCAGGTCCACTAGGGCGATCCAGGATGGGTCGTGTCAGTTTGAAGATGGATTCTTTATTGCAACTGGACATCTACTTCAACGGGTGGAGAATCAAGCATCACAGTCCTTTTTCCCTCAGCTCGAATAATGGAGAACACTTCACTCAAGGAAGGCACCTCTTCCTTTCCGAGTACTAGCACTGCAACTTGATCGAATTCCATGTTAAGTCCAGCCAAGAATTCATATCATATTTCTCCTTCGACAAATTTCATCATCAT